TAACAGCAAGACATCAGGAAAGTCAAATCTTTCTTTCCAGATGCCCACTTTTGCATGGAACACCAGACTAGGAACGACTACCCAGTAATTAATAAAACAACCATGTACTGTGTATGTAATGGATGTTTGATACATATTGAACTTCCTCTTTTGCAAATATTACATAATTTATTTGACATTTGGGTATGTGTTTAGGCCTGTGTGTGCTACAGCATATCTGTAGAGGTAGGGGTTAATCTGTAGGACTTGGCTGCCTCCTTCTACCATGTAGTTTAAGTAACTGAACTCAGGTCACTGGGCTTGGAAGAAAATGCTTTTATCCTCAGAGCCTTCTAACACATCTCTAATTTATTTTCTGACACTAACCTACAGCATTTGTGAATTCTTTGCAGTAAAATTATAAAACACAACAAACAAATCAAAAACAACCCCCCCAAAAAAGTATAGGCTTTTGAGGATGTTACTCAGGGTTACAGTGCTATGTGGAGTAGTAGAAGGATTAGAACCCAGATACTGGGAACACATGGTTTAGTGAGTTTATTAGAGTGGGTAACATTGGAGATGTTTACTTCTTTTTTTTTTTTTTTTTTTTTTTTTTTTGGTTTTACGAGACAGGGTTTCTCTGTTTTGGAGGCTGTCGGTCCAGCCTGGCCTCGAACTCACAGAGATCCGCCTGCCTCTGCCTCCCGAGTGCTGGGATTAAAGGCGTGCGCCACCAATGCCCGGCGAGATGTTTACTTCTTGGAGCACAAGCATGTGATTAAACTAACAGTAAGTGTTGCAGCATAGGTGCTGGGTTCTCACAGGTCCATGGAAATAAGACTCAGAAGCACCTTAAGAATGACTGTAGCCTTTCTCTCTCTACTACAGGGTGGATCCAGCCTCTAAGAACTCAACCACTTTCCTTTTACCCAGGGATTCTTTTACTGTTCTCCAATTTTACACTTTAGCAAGTTGGTTTCCATTATCCTCAAAAAAAAAAAAAGAAAAAAAAGAAAAAGAAAAAAACCTGATGAAGCTCCTATAGGGATAATCCAGAGTACAAATTCTCAATTCCAGAGGTACCACGGTTTTCCAGGTTTCTCCTCAACCAGGTTTTGCATAGGCTTTGTATTCATGGGGAAACTCTCAGGCAAGATTCACGTATAGGACAACAGGAGAAACAAAAAGTATCTGCTAAACAAAAAATGGATGAGGGCTGGGTGCTCACATTCTGGAGCCAGACCAGGTATAGCCCAGTGGGAATGCTCCCACAACCAAAGGCTCATTCCTAGACTAGAGACTCCTACATAGAATTTTAAAACTAATAGATAAGCGAGTGAAGACCTTTCTTTCACATTTTGTCAGTGACAGAGGAATGGGGTTGTGGAGCCATGGCAGAGTTGAGACAAAGTAACTCAGTGACAGAGCACCTCCTCAGCATGCACAGGGCCCTGGCTTCCTTCTGTGGTACCACAAAATGGGCGGTGGGGGGTAGCAGAGGTAGCACCTAATGAGGAAGAATTATTTTCTTTTGGAATGTGGGAAATGATGAATTACTATTGCTCTATAAATAGACAAGCAACAGGATCAAGGAAAAGATTTGTATGAGAAGTGAATATTACTAAAGAGAAAGACCAAATGTAAGTGCCAGTGTTTACCCACCAGGCTAAGGTTGGCTGCAAGGAATGAAGCCAGGCACAGGTTGGAGGTGCCACAGCAAGACTGAAGCTGTGACAATTTTATTGAGAGCAATCAGGCTTTTTATACTTTTATCAGAAACAAAATATGATGATAATTTCCAGGATCAATACAGTTGCAGTTACCAGGAAATAATGAAGTTTTCAAGCTATACAGGCTACACAAAATTAACATCTAATACCAATTGTCCTGTCAAGCTTCCCTGGTTCCTTGACTACTAAGGGAACAAGCAGAGAAACCTAAAGTGGCCCCAACACTTCACTGCCTGAGAGAATGCATTGGTCTGTCAGGAATTGGAAGGTACATTGTGCCCCAGGAACCATGGACTCTAACCTGACAAACTCACAATACATGTTTTTCAAGGCAGCTAGGCAATACAACTCCATGGTTCACTGAACCAAAGATTACAAAAAAAAGTTAAAATGATCCCACAGAGCTCAGTTACATGAGACAAAGAAGACAAGGAGGCACTGTGCAGATATGGGTGAGGGTTTAGGGGGGTGGTCCACAGATTGTCATTGGTTCTGAACATGCCATAGGATTAAAATATGGATAAAGTGCATCAGGGAAGGAAGGTTCATAGACTTTGTAGATGAGAGCTCCACGGTTGGAAACATTATAAAATGAGAGAGTGCAAGCTTCTCTGTCCAAGAAAACTCCAACACGACTGGGAGGACGAATCAGGGAGAGGGCCAAGTCACTGACACTTTCGGTGAAAGAACACTGTTCAAAGCCATGATATAAAGACCTATTCGCCATACCTATAACCCAGTAGCCATGTTTAGGCTGATAATTTACATGATGTTTAACAACAGAATTATATATGACTTTAAAGCCATGCATTTCATTCACTGCATGAAGGTAGGATTGAGCACATCTTCCATCATTTAATCCCAGCAGCCAGGCATCACTTCCAGACACGTCTACTTCCCAGTAATGTTTCCCTGAGTAGATAGCTGGATATCCAAGGACACCCAAATCATAGGTCTCAAAAAATTGCAAATGAGTTCTATACTTTCTATGTCGTATTTGTCTTTTATCCATGTTAATGACAACATTTTTATTGTAGACTTGAGGCAGGGTCACGTGAACTGCAGAAAAATGAGACATATAAGTTAAGGGTCACATTAGAAGCAAGGTACAATCTTATTTGTGATGTAAAGAGCAGAAGCCTAAGGGGAGAGTGAAAGGGAACTTAGAGAAACCATGTTTAAAGTCAAGAAGAGACAGAATGCTGTGTTTATTGACAGAAGTAACATGAATCACATAAGGGTTGGTAGAGAAACAAATTCTGAAAGGCATTAAGAAGAGAGTGGCATATAGTGCTATGATTTCTCCTTACCCCAGTAGCGTCGGGCATACATGAGCCCTGAAATGATGAAAATTCACAGCATTAAATGGAAGCAAAGGAATCAAAACATTAAAGTCAATGTCCTCTCCAGATGAGGGGAAAGGTTGCAAATAGTGATATGGGAAGGGATGAATAATGATTTTTCCATTAAATATGGTGACATCACTGGGATACACTATCTGTTCTTCAGAGCCCAGCTATCCAAATGCAGAAACATCACTCTCTTCCAAGAGAGTGTAGCCCCAGCCCCAGCTAGAATCCCCCAGTTACCCACAGAATGCAGCTGCTCTCACCATGAAACACTTCCAGCATGTCTTTCAGATCTGAAGCTTGAAAGTTCCTTCTCTGTTTTCTTGGAAGCATTTTGGGCTGTTTCAGTATTAAGGTCTGATTCCTAGGAACAAAGGATAGACCTCCACATATCAGATAGTGTGACCTTGACCACCGCTGACTCCCTATCATTCTAATCATAGACATCCTGGAGCTCTCCAGAGAATTCTGAGACTGGAAAGAGGGTAGACTACTAACTCTATAGACACTTAATTGGTTATGTGATGTTGGGAAAGCCTTAATCTTCAGGAGTAGAACTCCTCACTTGTATAGTCAAAAACTTGCTAATGATGAATTGGAAAATTTTTAAACAAATCAAACTAAAGTACCTAAAAAATAATTTTTTGGGGCAGGCATGAAGTCAAAGATTTTAATCCCTAGACTTAGGGGGTAGGGGCAGTTGGATCTCTGAGATCACGACCGGCATGAATAGTCTGCAGAGTCAGTTCCATACAAGCAAAGGCAAGAAAGAAAGAGAGAGAGAGAGACAGACAGACAGACAGACAGACAGAGAGACAGAGAGATAGACAGAGAGAGAGGGAGAGAGGGAGGGAGGAAGGGAGGGAGGGATAGGGGGAGAGGGAGGGAGAGAGGGAGAAAGAGACAGAGAGAGGGGGGAGGAAGAAGAAAGAAAGAAAGAAAGAAAGAAAGAAAGAAAGAAAGAAAGAAAGAAAGAAAGAAAGAAAGAAAGAAAGAAAAAGAAAGAAGGTGGATTTTCATGGACAGTGTAACGTGGGCAATTCAGAAGCTGTTCTTGGGTAATAGAGTTATGTAGTGTAAGAACACCATCTGGAGAAAGCCAAAACTTCAAACACCTTTTGTCAGTGTGAACACTCTTGGCCAGCTTCTGAATCTTCAAGTTCTTTTTTGGAAACATAGATAGGAACATCAAACTAAAGCTGACATGAGTCCCATATGTTCAGAACAAGCTGATGTCAACATCCTGAGTGTGACTCTTTACATACAAGGTCACAGCTTTCCAGTCTTCTGAAGTATGTGACTCATGTGGAGCAGCTGGACCCACAGACTCAAGTCTGTTTGTGAAAAAGGTAAGCACAACCACAAAGGAACTCTGGATCTCTTCCATCCCACCAGAAACACACAGATCCCCAGGAATTTTCCCAGTGTGCAAATCTGTGAACATTGCTGACAAGGAACACACGGCCTACCTAGGATGAAGCTATGAATCAAGTCTTGTTAACTGCAGACAGAGCCAGACACAAGCACACAGCGTGGACAGAATGATGGACCCACGGGGAGTCTGTTCCATTTGCCTCGTCTCACTGCTGAGCCTAACTCTGGACTCCCCATTACCCAGTCCCCTAAAAGAATCAATCAATCTGTTCTCAGTAGTTACAAAACATACAGAGCCTGCCTCCTCCTCCTCCTCCTCCTCCTCCTCCTCCTCCTCCTCCTCCTCCTCCTCCTCCTCCTCCTCCTTCTCCTCCTTACTGGAACTTCAAAATAACACTTTGTCTAAATCCCCCAAACCCATGACACTTTTATTCAAGTTGGACACTAAATCATTCTGGCCACACAACAGGGCTAATCTTCCCTGTCAGCCCACACATACCTTGTTAGGACAGAATTCACACCCTAGGGAGGAGGAAGAAAACACAGTTAATAGCATGTTCTGCATGTTCTTACTCATCCTGGTCATACTCTCACAGGCCACAGAGACAAAGTCAAAAGAGAATGAAGCCAGCCACCCCCAGTTCTCCAAGACATGATATAAATATGATACATGGCCCCTTACTGACTTACATGTAAATTAATAGACTATTTCTGTCTCATGCTCTAAGGCTTTGGAGACCAACGATGAAAAACAATAGTTTGAAAACTTCCATAGGTTTTTGCTGTGTGTACAACTAAACACATAAACAAATTATTTTTCACTGGCTACATGTTAGTGATCCATTACCTTACTTGCAACTAACATTATGAGAAGCTGATTTCCATATTATTTTAGTCATTTAGACACAATTTGATATATTAGTAATGAAAATGCCACAAGGACCAGAATCTTAGTTCATTTGATACTTAAAACCCAGCTAACTGGCCGAGCGGTGGTGGTGCACGCCTTTAATCCCAGCACTCAGGAGGCAGAGGCAGGCGGATCTCTGTGAGTTCGAGGCTGGGCTGGACCAACAGCCTCCAAAACAAATCAGAGAAACCCTGTCTCGTAAAAACCAAAAACAAAAAAAAAAACCCCCAGCTAACTGTCCGCCTTCCACTAGCCCTCCTTGGTGGTCTCCTGGCTTGGGGGATGGTGCACAGCTGGATTTGCACCAGCAGGCCAAGGTATCCAGAGTCTGCCGACATCCCAGGGCTAGTCCCGCCTCCACACACCTGGAGACTACTTCATAGCAGCATTATTTGTAATAGCCAGAACCTGGAAGCAACCTAGATGTCCCTCAACCAAAAAAGGATAAAGAAAATGTGGTACATTTTTTTCTGTGGAATACTACTCAGCAAAAAAAAAAAAAAAAAAAAAAAACAATGAAATCTTGAAATTCCCAGGCAATGGATGGAACTAGAAGAAACCATCCTGAGTGAGGTATCCCAGTCACAGAAAGACAAACATGGTATGTACTCACTCATATATAGATTTTATACACAGAGGAAAGGATTACCAGCGTACAACCCACACCTCAAAAGAAGCTAAGAAACAAGCAGGACCCTAAGAGAGACATACATAGTCCCTCAGAGAAGGGGAAAGTGGCAAGAGTTCCTGAACAAATTGGAAGCATGAAGGAGGGAGAAGGGGAGAGGGAGGGAGGGAGGAGAAAGAAGAAGAGAGAAGAGAAGGGGAAAGGAGACCATGAGAGATCAGGAAGATTGAGTTAGGGGATGAATAGAGGAGAGCAAGAAAAGAGATACCTTAATAGAGGGAGTCATTACAGGTTTAAAGAGAAATCGGGCACTAAGGAAATGTCCAGAAATTCACAAGGATGACCCCAACTAACAATCTAAGCAACAGTGGAGAGGCTACCTTAAATGCTCTTCCCCTATAATAGATTGATGACTATCTTAAATGCCACACTAGAGCCTTCATCCAGAGAGACACAACTAAGCACTGAGCTGAACTCCTGGATTCCAGTTGTAGAGATGGAGGAGTGATGAGCAAAGGGGTCACAACCATTCTGGTGAAACCCACAGAAACAGCTGACCTGAGCAAGTGGGAGTTCATGGGCCCCAGTCTGACAGCCAGGGAATCAGCATAAAGCCAAACCAGGTTCCCTGAATGCGGGTGTCAGTTGGGGGTCTGGGCAGTCTATGGGGCCTCTTTCAGGGGAACCAGTATTTACTTCTAGTACATAAATGTTCTTTGGGAGTCCATTCTCCCATTGAGGGATACTCTCTCAGCCTAAATACACCAGGAAGGGTCTAGGCCCTGCCCCAAATGATGTGACAGATTTTTATGATTCCCCTGTAGAAGGCCTCACCCTCCCTGGGGAGCAGAAGGGGGATGGGATGGGGGCTTAGTGGGGAGCATAGGAGCATGGGTGGATGGGAGAGAGCGGGAACTGGGATTGATATGTAAAATATGATTGTTTCTTATTTAAATTAAAAAAAAGAACAACAATAAAAACAGTTAATCATATCCCTCTTTCTCTTTTTATTCTCTCCCTGTAATTGTCCTTGTAGGAAAAGAAGTTAATCTAAAGAGACATGTTTGTCTCTCAATTTAACAAACCCTTGAAACAATGATCATGCCCAAAAATGGTCATTTCCCCAGGAATCTCATATTGGGAGAAGGAAAACAGCTTTAGCCAGAGAGAGAGCTGGCCTCCTAAAAGATTTCAAACAGTTTTAATTTCTTGCACTACTACCTTAAGAAGGAGTCTGTAACCCAGATAATGATGACAGAATTAAGGACAGGACCACACCTTGACCTGGACTCCTCATGTATGCACATCCTAGATTCTGTTTAAACTTTAATCTCACTTAGGGAAACTGAAGATGGACAGAGGGTTTGTTTTTAATTTTTTTATCTCTTTGTCCATTTTTCAAATGCTGCCACATTAATGAATATCCTTTTCCAACTTTCCTCAGCTAGCCATTTGTTCTGAGTTTGAGACCTAAAACTACGAAAGTGTTCTCAGGGAGGTTAGCTGAGATGATCTAGCCTCACAGAATACTCTAGCCAGGACTTGAGACAAACTCTGCACTCTCCCATTATGCTTAGACTGGACAAAAAATGATATAGCTTGACAGTTAACTCAAGTCTTTGTTTTCAGGATCCCTTAAAGAAGCCATGATCTCCAGACAGCAGGAAGTGACTTTAAGAACATGATGCCCGAGACAGCTGATCCGAACAGGGGAGAGCTCTTGGACCCCAGACTGACAGCTGGGAGGCCAGCATGGGACTGATCCAGACCCCCCTGAGTGTGAGAGTCAGTGAGGAGGCCTGGGCAACCTATGGGGTCCTGAGCAGTGAATCGGTGTTTATCCCTCGAATACTAACAGACATCTTGTGTCCATAACACAAAGAGGGATGCTCTCTCAGCCTGGACTCTTAGGGGAGTGCCTGGACCCTACCCTGAGTGAAATGACAGACTCTAGATATCCCCTATGTGGAAGGAATTGGCAATAGGGTGGGATGATGGGGGGGATGGAGAGGGGTGCAGGAGGAGGGGGAGGGAGAGGGAACTGGAATTGACATGTAAAACAAGCTATTTAAAATTAAAATAATAAAATATATATATAAAGAACATGATGCCCACATTCCCAAGAGGTAGGGTGGATAGTTTTTGGTCACTCGTTGTGTTATGGATATTTGTCATTGTTTAGGGAGATTGGTTACCAAGTATTGTTGGTTACAGTCAGGAATAAAGTTGAGCAAAGGGGATTGGATTCAAGATTTTTGTTGTGAAAAGAAAAAGGATACAGATATGATAGGGAAAAAAAGGGTAGATTATTGAATTTACTCTGAAAAGAAAAAAGGAGGCTATAGATATGATAAGATATATAAAATGTAAAGTATTTAGAGACAGTAAAATATAATTTGATAATGCAAATTAGAATAAAAATTAAATTAGGTACAAGACTTTGGACTCGCCAAGATAGAATAGATAATGGAGTATTTTCTCTGAATTTGTCAAATGCAAATTAACTAGACATTGTTAATGAATTTGTTACCTCTATTATTGTACTTATTGTACGTAGTTTTTCTTCTGTTAGTTGTAGCCTTCTTTTGTATTAGACAAAAAGGGGCAACTGTGGTGATATATTATTTATGATTTATTAAAGCTTGCCTGAGGATTCAGAAAGTAAAGTCAGTCACAAGCTATAGAGGTCAGGCAGTGGTGATACACACCTTTAATCCCAGCAGCCACAGAGTTAGGCAGTACATACCTTTAATCCCAGGACTCAGGATTAAGAGGTCGACAGATCTCTGTTAGTTCAAGGACACATGAAATCAATTCAGTCCTAAAAGAAACAGCTCATACAAAGGTGATCTCAGCACTTGGAATCATGTGGCTTTTATCCCAGCACTAGAGAGGTGGAGACAGAAGTGATACGCCAGGGCAGAGAAAGGACTATAAGGGGGAGGAGACAGGATCTGAGAGCTTTTCTGAGGATTTGTGGAGACGGGATTGCCATTTCAGCTGGGTAGAGGTAAGAGCTACTACCTTGGCTGCTTTGCTTTCTGATCCAGCTTGGAGCTTGAATCCCAATATAAGTCTCTGGGACCTTTATTTTCTTAGTTACACGTATATGTTAAAATATTAACCATTCAAAGCAAGAAGTATTGATATTTGTGACAACTTGGCTGAACTCAGAAAACGCATGTTATACTAAACCAGCTGGGCACAGGAAAAGACAACACTAAGTAATGCTATTTAAGTGTGTCAGGTACAAAAACTGATCTCACAAAGCAAAGATTAGAATTTGTGTCATTATGGACAGAGGCAGAGAAAGGTGAGCAGATTCTTTTGTCAAGAAATACAATCTCAGGCTGGTAGAGTATTGTAGCTGTAGTTAGTATCTATGGGAACTAGCTTAACTTAGTCTATACCTATAATTCCATCTAATATAGGTAATAAATGAGTGTTCTCAATAATAATTAAATCCACACAATGGAAAGCAATTAATTAAAGGGAGTATGAAATGTTCCTAGAACTACCAAGGTCTATAAGATTGACAATTGAGACTAAAGATACAAATTTCCTACAGAGATATTCATCACCAGAATATGACTTTTGTTTAAATTACTTAAAAATGTCATAGAGATAAAACACAATACAAACTTTGCACCTGTGAGGATAAAGAAGACACAATTCATCTCAGCAATTCAAAGATAGAATCAGGGATAACTTTCTGAGATCTCTGAAGGTAACTCTTCTCCCTCTGACCACATCACTGCAATAGGAGACTGTGGGAAAGTCTCCAAACATCCCAGGGGAGGAACAATTTCTACTAATTTAAAATTCAGGTACAGTGATGACAGTTCAAAATGTGCTTCACACATGCTCAGCATTGCAGCAGGGTAGAAACTACCCATGATGCAACACATCTTCTCTACCAGGTTCTGCATCTTTACTGTACTTGATAACCTAAAAAAATGCAATTTCCCCTTGCCACCATGCATGCAATGATTCCACAGCCTCTGAAACTGGCTCAGGAAAGAGTTCAGGGAGGGCACAGAGAGCCCTACTGTCCTCACCAGGAAGATCTCAGAAGCACAGAGGGAGGGCAATGGCTTCCAGGTCTCCTGACTCTCTGATGCTGGGACCTCCTGCGGTCTTACCTGCAGCATTTCAAAGGTTGAGCACTGCAACTGATGCTCCACATCTGAGATGAGGTCTCTCACTGCCTCCCTCTGCTTCTCCAGCTCAGTTTGAGACTCTCCCAGGCTGTTCATGATGCCTTCCTTCTCCTGCATCAGCTTCTGCAGCTCACTCTTCTCCTCGGAGTCCAGGAATTCCCGCAGCCTTTTAAACTCCATCCGAACATTTTCTTCTTCACTGTGTATTTGGTTCTTGAGGGATAAAAAAGGGGAGAGAAATTCAGACTGTCCTGAAGGGACTGGAGAACAGAAAACCACTGTGGTGATGAGAACTTCTCACAGGGAACTGAGCTTGGGGAGGGAAGGGAGTCTTAGGGAAGCATGTGTCTCCTTTCAATGTCTGTTCATGACATTCCAAAACAAAGATCTTAGGTCACCTTTACCAAGGCCACCTGGGTCACAGTGGGATGCCTGGGTGTGGCTCAGTTTTCACACAGCTGCTCCAGACTCTATTTCTGCCTCATTCTACCTCTGAAGCCCTCAGGTAATTTAACCCCAAGAATAAAATAGTGAATGTTCCCAAGCATCTTCCCAACAGTCACAGCTCCAGAAAACACCACAGGAGTGAGACCCAGGACTCAGTGCCCATTCTCACCAGGCCTCTCCATGGCTTCAGCTCCTAACGTAGCCAGGCTCAGTTGTGCATGCACTGTGCAGCCCCAGCTCCAAGGGAACAGGTAGAGAGGACTAATCAGGCCCCTTGGCCTCATCAACTACCAAGGAATGAAGAGTCAGGGAGCATCAGGCTGACTCCCTCAGGAAGGGTCCTCACTTGCCTCCCAGAAAGTTCTCTCCTTTTGCAGGTCAACTTCCCATTCATCACATCTTTTGTTATTTGCCATCTGCATCTCCATAGCAACCTGGAGCTTCTCCTGTGGGAAAGGAATTACATCAGAATCAAGCTGGGTGCTTGGTAGTACTGCTGCCCCTAATCAAAGGTCAAGAAACCCTTGTGGAAAGACAGCAAGCCTAAGATAAGATTGTTCTTTTTAAAAACTTGTGCCAGGATTTATGCACAAAATGTATGTAAATCTTCAGTTTGTAGTTCAATCTTTTTATTTTTACTTTTTATTGAGCTACACATTTTCTTCACTCCCCTTCCCTCCTCCCCTCTCCCCTTCCATCTTATATCCTATCCCCCATGCTCCTAATTTACTCAGTAGGTTTTGTCTTTTTCACCTTCCTAGGCAGATCCTAGGGTCCTCTTTGTTACATAGGTTCTCTGGTATTTTGACCTGTAGGCTGTTGTCTTTTTGTTTTATGTATAGTATCCACTTATGAGTAAGTACATATTATATTTGTCTTTCAGGGTCTGGGTTACCTCACTAAGGATGGCTTTTTCTGAGTCTATGCATCTGCCTACAAATTTCAAGATGTCCTTTTTTTTTAACCACTGAGTAGTACTCCATCTGTTATGCAAATGTACCATATTTTCCTTATCTGTTGTTCAGTTGAGGAGCATTTAGATTGTTTCCAGGTTCTGGCTATTATGAATAATGCTGCTATATGAACATAGTTGAGCAAGTGTCCTTGTGGTGTGAGTGTGAATCCTTTGGGTGTATGCTTAAGAGTGAAATTGCTGGGTCTTGAGATAGACTAATTCCCATTTTCCTTAGAAACTGACATACTGATTTCCAAGTTAGCACTCCCACCAGCAATGGAGGAGTGTTCCCCTTTCTCTACCCTCTCCAGAATACCCTTTCATTAGTGTTTTTGATCTTGGTCATTCTGACAAGTGTAAGATGGTATCTCAGAGTCCTTTTGATTTACAGTTCCCTGATGACTAAGGATGTTGAGCTTTTTCTTAAGTGTCTTCCTCCCATTTGAGATTCCTCTGTTGAGAGTTTTCTGTTTAGATCTTTCCCCATTTTTTATTGGATTATTTGGCTTCTTGATATTGAGTTTCTTGAGTTCTTAGTATATTTTGGAGATCAGACATCTATCAGTTATAGGGTTGGTAAAGATCTATTCCCATTCTTCAGGCTTCTTTACTGTTTTGTCTTATTTACTGTGTCCTTTGCTTTACAGAAGCTTCTCAGTTTCAGAAGGTCCCATTTATCAATTGCTGCTCTCAGTGTCTGTGCTACTGGTGTTATATTTAGGAAGTGGTCTCCTGTGCCAATGTATCCAAGGCTACTTCCCACTTTCTCTTCTAAGAGATTCTGTGTAGAAGCCACATGTGGAGGCTTCTACTATGTCTTTTCCAGCTCAGAGGCAGCTTCCTCTGTGTCTCTCCTGGAATGGTGCACGGCCTCAATCAATTCTTATATTTATACATACACAGCCCCCTACAGAGACACGGAAATCTCTCTTAGTCAATCATCCTACCAAGTACAAACCTCTTACTTTGATTCTGGCATCAGAGAACTAGGGTAATTAAGTTAGCTTTTTGATCTTTCATATAAATATATACATACATAATATACCTCGCAACATATATCATATGCCCCCACAATATACACAGGCACTTTTTTTGATAATGAATCTCTCCATGTAGCCTGGCTGGTCTGGAATTCCTGTGTAGACCTATATACCTTCAAACTCTTCAGTTGTCAGAGTTCTGGGACTGAGCCATGCACCAGTACACTAGCCACATGTACTTTCTTTGTCGTTTCTTTTCCTTTTTTCTGTAGTTAGGTTTCTTTTTCCTTCACTGAAAACAGATTTTTCACACAATACAATGTGACTACAGGTCCCCCTGACTCTACTCCTCCCAGTTCCTCTCTACCTCCCATCCCATGCAGATCCACGCCCTTTATGTCTTCTGTTTCAAAGCAGGTATCTGTTTCTCAGCCTCAACTGATTGATGCAAATATAGCAAAAGTTTTGCTGAAACATCTCACTCAAAACCAGACATAAAGGCTCTACTTTACATATCACTACAGCCCATACTTAACATTATGAGAAAAAAAAACTCCAAATGTGGGTTCACTACATTTTGTGTGGTCAGTCATCTATGGTTTATCTCCCCATTGAGACTACCTTGGAGAAAATTAATGTTTTTCATTTACAAGAAGCTATCAAATGGATATCGTATGTGGGTTAGGGATGGGGGCATGTGCCCACCTCTTCCAGCTCCAGGATCCCATCTGGTGTAGACCCTTGCAGGCCCTGTGCATGCTGCAACAGTCTCTGTGGATTTATATGGGGACTCAAAAACAAACAACAGAAAATAAAGACCCAACACAGACCTTGCCTCTGTGTATCTCATTATAGAATTCTTTCCCCTCTTTCTATATGTTTCAGTTGTCGTATGCACATTCTATTGCTGCTGTATGTCATTCATTTACTAACCCCAGTATTGATGGTCACTAGACTGGATTTTAGGTACTATAAATGAATCTCACATGAGCATTGAAAGAAGATAAATATGGGATAAACTGCTCTTGGCTTTTCTTAGTCATGGACTTAAACTCACAAGGACAATTCCATGACATTTTTGTTGTTTTTTATTAATTTTTATTTAAATTAATGGCATTCTTCTTTTACATTCCAATCAGGTTCTCTCTCTCTCCTGTCCTCCCATTCTCCATACCAACCCCCATCCACTTCTCACTCCTCAGAGGGTGAGGTATCCCATGGGGGATCATCGAAGTCTGTCACATCATTTGGGGCAGGGCCTAGATCCTCCCCCATGCATCTAGGCTGAGATGTGTACATACAGCCGGAAGTGGCAGTGACCACATCTCTAGGCCGGCAGCTTTTGCTGGATCTCAGTATAGACTGTGACGGTGGGCTGGAATCACGCTTACGCCTACCATCTTGGAAAAACTGCAGTTTAAACCGCCACGGTTTTAACAGATAAGACACGTGGCCAGAAAAACATAAAGATTTGCAGTAAAGTCAGACTTGGATGAAGAAAAATCTCTAAATGTTTACAGTGTGTTTTAAAATATACGTTAAGATTGAGAGAGAAAAAGAAACGGCATAGTGGTAAATAAATACAGAAGCCGGCTGTGGTGGCGCATGCCGGTAGGATTTGCTGCAGAGGCAGAGGCAGGCGGATTTCCAAAGAGAAACCCTGTCTCAGAGAAAAATAAATAAAAGTAAAAGAAATAGAATAATAATAATAGATAAATAAATAAGCCACGTAAAGATGGAAAATACACAGAAAGTCTGGATACTGTACGCTATTGTGTTTTTCAGTTTTTTGATTGCTAAGGAACAATGACTAAAGTACACTTGATTATAAATGCTGCTGAATTAATTCAACTTATATCTTTTGAAAATGCCTTGACTTCAAAATTTGAGTATAAGGATATGTTACTTTAGAAAGGAGTTATTGTTTGTGTTTCTACAGAAAATGAAAAGCTGAGGATTCCTTCCAGGCTTCTGTGGTTTGATGAAACAAGACCTATCCAGTGGTGAGAGTGGAGTGTTGAAGTCTCCCACTATAACTGTGTGGGGTTTAATGTGTGATTTGAGTTTTGGTAATGTTTCCTTTACCAATGTGGGTGCCTTTGTATTTGTGGCATAGATGTCCAGAATTGAGACTTCATCCTGATGGATTTTTCTGTGATGAATATGAAATGTCCTTCTTCATCTCTTTTGATTAATTTTAGTTTGAAGTCTATTCTGTTAGATATTAGGATAGCAATACCCGCTTGCTTCTTATGTCCATGTGATTGGAAAATCTTTTCCCAACCCTTAACTCCGAGGTAAATTCTGTCTTTGAAATTGAGGTGTGTTTCTTGTATGCGGCAGAAGGATGGATTCTGTCTTCCTATCCATTGTGTTAGCCTGTGTCTTTTTACAGGTGAGTTAAGACCATTGATATTGAGAGGTATTAATGACCATTGATTGTTGATTCTTTTTTGTTTTAGATTCATTTTTGGTGGTAATATTGTGTGTGACCCAACTGGGTTTAACAGACATCTATAGAACATTCCACCCAAACACAAAAGAATATACTTTCTTCTCAGCATCACATTGAACCTTCTCTAAAATCGACCACATACTTGGCAATAAAGCAAACTTCAACACATACAAAAAAATGGGAATAACCCCTGTATCTTATGGGACCACCATGGCTTAAAATTAGAATTCAACATCAACACAAATTGTAGAAGCCCCACAAATTCATGGAAATTGAGCAATGCTCAATTGCATCACTCCTGAGTAAAGGAAGAAATAAAGAAAGAAATCAAGCCGGGCATTGGTGGTCCACGCCTTTAATCCAAGCACTCGGGAGGCAGAGGCATGTGGATCTCTGTGAGTTCGAGGCCAGCCTGGTCTACAGAGAGAGTTCCAAGACAGCCTCCAAAACAATACAGAGAAACCCTGTCAAAAATCAAAAACAAAACAAAAAAGGAAATCAATGACTTACTAGAATTCAATGGAAATGAAGGAACTACATATCCAAACCTATGGGACACTCTGAAAGCAGTTCTAAGAGGAAAGTTCATAGCACTAAGTGCCCACATGAAGAAACTGGAGAATAGCCACACTAGAGAATTAACAGAACACCTGAAAGCTCTAGAACAAAAAGAAGTAAACTCACCCAGGAGGAGTAGATGCCAGGAAATAATCATATTGAGAGCTGAAATCAATAATGTAGAAACAAAGAAAACAATACAAAGAATCAATGAAACAAAGAGTTGGTTCTTTGAGAAAAATCAACAAGCTAGATAAACCTTTATCCAACCCAACCAAAAGACAGAGAGAACATGCTAATTAACAAAATCAGAAATGAAAAGGGGGACATAACAATAGATGCTGGGGAAATCCAGAGAATCATCAGGTCATACTTGGAAAACCTGTACCCTGCTGGAGATGGCTCAGTGGTTATGAGCACTGACTGTTCTTCCAGAGGTCTTGAGTTCAAATCCAGGCAACCACATGGTGGCTCACAACCACCTTGAGTGAGATCTGGTGCCCTCTGCTGGCATGCAGGCAGAAGACTACACACAAAACAAATAAATAAAATATTTAAAAAAAAAGAAAACCTGTACTCCACAAAATTGGAAATTCAAAGGAAATGAATGATTTTTTGGATAGATATCACTTACCAAAATTAAATCAAGAAAAGATAGACAATCTAAATAGATCTATAATCCCTAAAGAAATAGAAAACCATAAAGGAAGGTGGCAGGATACAAAATTAACTCAAAAAAATCAGGAGCTCTACTATATATAGACAATAAAGGGGCCGAGAAAGAAACCTTTTTCAGTAGCCACAAACAACATAAAATATCTTGGAGTAACTCTAACCAAACAGGTGAAAGACCTGAATGACAAAAACTTTGAGTCTTTAAAGAAAGAAATTAAAGAAGATACTAGAAAATGGAAAGGTCTCTAATGCTCTTGGATAGGTAGGATCAACATAGTAAAAATGGCAATCTTGCCAAAAGCAAGCTCAGATTCAATGTAACCCCTATCAAAATCACAGCACATTCTTCACAAACTTTAAAAGGACAATTCTCAACTTTATATGGGAAAACCAAAGACCCAGGATAGCCAAAACAACCCTGTATAATAAAGGAACTTCCAGAGGCATCACCATGCCTGACTTCAAGCACTACTACAGAACTATAGTCCTGAAAACAGCTTGGTATTGGCACAAAAATAGCCAGGTAGTAGACCAATGAAATCTAATTGAAGACCCTGATATTAACCCACACACCTTTGAATACCTGATCTTTGACAAAGAAGCTAAAGCTATACAATGGAAAAGCATCTTCAACAAATGGTGCTGGCATAACTGGATGCCAGCATATAAAAGACTGCAGATAGATCTATATCTATCACCATGCATAAAACTTAAGTCCAAATTAATCAAAGACCTCAACATAAATCCAGCCACACTGAACTTCTTAGAAGAGAAAGTGGGAAGTACCCTTGAACAAATTACTACAAGACACCGCTTTCTGAACATAATACCAGTAGCACAGACATTGAGATCTACAATTAATAAATGGGACCTCCTGAAACGGAGAAGCAAAAGACACAGTCAACAAGACAAAAAGACATCCCACACAATGGGAAAAGATATTCACCAACCCCACATCTGACAGAGGGCTGATCTCCAAAATTTACAAAGAATTCAAGAAGCTAGTTTCCAAAACACCAAATAATCCAATTAAAAAGTGGGGTACAGAACTAAATAGAGAATTCTCAATAGAGGAGTCTAAAATGGCTGAGAGACACTTGAGAAAGTGCTCAACATCCTTAGCCATCAGGGATATGCAAATCTAAACAACTCTGAGATACCATCTCTCTCCCATCAGAATGGCTAAAATCAAAAACACTAACAACAGTTTATTCTGGAGAGGATGTGGATAAAGGGGAACACTCTTCCACAGTTGGTGGAAGTGCAAACTGGCACAGCCACTTTGGAGATAAGTATAGAGATTCCTCAGGAAAACTGAAATCAGTCTACCACAAGATCAAGCAATTCCACTCTTAGGCATATACCCAAAAGATGTACATTCATACAATAAGGACATCTGCTCAACTATGCTCATAGAAGCATTATTTGGAATAGCCAGAACCTGGAAGCAACCTAGATGCCCCTCATCTGAAGAGTGGATAGAGAAAATGTGGTACATTTACACAGTGGAGTACTACTCAGCAGAAAAAACAATGGAATCTTGAAATTTGCATACAAATGGAAGGCACTAGAGGAAACCATCCTAAGTGAGGTAACTCAGTCACAAAAAGACAAACATGGTATGTATTCACTCATATATGGATTTTAGACATGGAGCAGGGGATTGCCAGCCTACAATCCCACTGTCAGAGAGTCTGGGAAACAGACAAAGAGAGAGATGCATGGTAACCCAGAAAAGGGGAATGCAATGAGATCTCCTGAGGGGATTGGGAGCGTGAGGGGAGTGGAAGAGAGAGGGAGATGGGAGAAAAAGAGGGGGAGAAGAAGGGGGCACAGGAGGACATGGGGGAGCAGGAGGGTTGAATCAGGTTAAGAATGGAGGAAAACAGGATGAGAGATACCATAATAGAGGGAGCCATTGTGAGTTCAAGGAGAGATCTGGCACTAGTGAGATCTTCACAGATCTACAAGAATGAACCAACTAGCATTAAGGCTACCTTAAATGCCCTCTCATGATAATGAGAATGATGACTACCTTATATGCCATCCTAGAGCCCTCATCCAGTGTCTAATGGAAGCAGAGGCAGACACCCACAGCTGGACACCAAGCTGAACTCCTGGAACCTAGTTGCAAAGAGGAGTGATGAGCAAAGGAATCAATACCGGGCTGGTGAAGCCCACAGAGGCAGCTGACCTGAACAAGGGTGAACACATGGACCCCAGACTGGTGACTGAGAGGCTAGCATGGGACTGATCCAGATCACTACCACCCCGCACCCCCACTCTGCCCCCCACACCCTCCCAGGCTGAGTGCCAGAGAAGAGGCCTCGACAATCTGTGGAACCTCGGATAGTGGATCAGTATTTATCCCTGGCATATGGATGGACTTTGGGAACCCATTCTACATGAAGTGGTGCTCTCTCAGCCTGGACACATGGAAAGGGCCTGGGCCCTGTCTGGGATGATGTGACAGACTTTGAAAATACCCCCATGGAAGACCTTACCCTCCCTGAGAAGCAGAGGGGGGATGGGGTGGGGGGTTGGGAGGATTGGGGGGCAGGGGAGGAAGGGAGGGAGAGGGAACTGGGAGTAACATGGGTAAAAAGTTAAATAATCTAAGAATTAATAAAAAACAAACAAACAAATATATATGGATTGATGCTTATGGAAGAGCTGGAATATGAATGAATATGAATATGAATGAATATGAATGAATCAACTCCATTTAAACCATTAAATTAAAAATAAATAGATTTTGCCAAATGTTAATGGACTAAATATTGTTAAGTATAGTTTTTACTTAATAACTGTCTTGTTATATATAATTTTGCTATGTTAAAGTTAAAACCTTTTTATTTAGACAGAAAAGAGGAGATGATGGGGGATATCCTTCTGTATATATGCTTCTCTTATTCGCTGATGACTAAAACACTGATTGGCCAGTAGCTAGGCAAGAGGTATAGGCAGGACTAGGAGATGAGAATTATGGGGAAAGGAAAGAGAAAGAAACCACCAGGGAGAGACGCCATGCTGCCAAATGAGTAACATGCCAGATTACAGGTAAGCCACATGGCAATACATAGTTTAATAGAAATGGGTTAATAATTAAGAGAGAGCTAGTCAGTAAGGAAATTAAGCCATTAGCCAGTTTAACAATTAATGGAAGTCTCTATGTATTTATTTGGGGCTAAATGGCTGTGGGACAAAGCAGAACAGAAACTTCTGTCTAAAGCTCATTTTTTAATTGGATTATTTGGTGTTTTGGCGACTAGTTTCTTGAGTTTTTATATATTTTGCAAATCAGCCCTCTGTCAGATATGGAGTTACTGGAGATCTTTTCCCATCCTGTGGGCCTCTGTTTTGTCTTTTTGACTGTGTCTCTTGCCTTACAGAAGCTTCTCAGTTTCAAGAGGTCCCATTTATTAATTGTCAATCTCAGTGCCAATGCATTCAAGGCTACTTCCAACTTTCTCTTATAAGTGGTTCAGTGTGGCTGAATTTATGTTGAGGCCTTTGACCCATTTGGACTTCAGTTTTGCAATACCCATCAAAATCCCAGCACAATTCTTCACAGACTTTGAAAGAACAATACTGAACTTTATATAGGAAAATAAAAAAAACCAGGATAGCCAAAACAACACTGTACAATAAAAGATCATCTGGGGTCATCAGCATCCCTGACTTCAAGATCTACTATAGAGCTATAGTAATGAAAGCAGCTTGGTATTGGCACAAAAACAGACAGGTGGACCAAAGGGATTGAATTGAAGACCCTGATATTAATCCACGAATTGAAGACCCTGATATTAATCCACAACCTATGAACACCTGATTTTTGATGAAGAAGATAAAATTATAAAATGAAAAAAGAAAGCATCTTCAACAACTGGTGCTGGCATAACATGATGCTGACGTGAAGAAAATTGCAGATAGATCCATATCTGTTGCCATACACAAAACTTATGTCCATGACATTTTTTCAGTCCTAGTATTTGTAGTTCAGATAGATTCTCATAGGATTAAGAGGAATAAATCATCATGTATTTTTAGGATTGTAAATGTAAGGAAGGATGGAATGATATATCAACCCTTAAGTCTATGATGTCCAGGTTAATTGACCTGTCACACCAAGTAGAGATTTCCTATCTGTTACTGTTTCATGCTCTGTGTCCCACACCCTCCCACTTCCTACCTTGTACTCATGGGCCACCTCTTCAATGAGAGCTGTTTGGTGACCACGGTGATCCTGAGATCTCTCACAAAGCCAGCAGATGGCCACCATGTCATTCTCACAGAAGAGCTGGAGTTTTTCTCCATGTCGTGCACAGACATTGACCTTCTGCTCCTCCTCTGGGCTGGACTTGAACCCTGTTAGCCTCTCCACTATGTTGGCCATGGGTCGATTAGGTTTCAGATTCTCAAACAGGTAAGTAACTTGGCACACAGGGCAGATGCCCTCCCCTTCTTTGACTTTGCTGTACTCATAGTTCAGTGTGATGCAGGCTCGGCAGAAGCTGTGGTCACAATCTGCACTCACAGGTTCCTTCAGGAGCTCCAGGCAGATGGGACAGGTCACCTCCTCCTTGATCATCACCAGGACTGATGAGGCCATTGTTGCTGTGATCCTGTTTCTGACTGGTCTGACTCCTGATGCTTTTGCTCAGGTACCTATGTGATTGGAATGAGGACAATTGAGCACAAGTAAGAAAGGGAAAATGGTCATGGACACTGTGCAGAGATGAATGAATGACCTCAATGATAAGGGAAAAGAACAAAGGAGAGAAATATGGAAAGAAGTTCAGCGATATGGCAAAGGAAGTGTTTTGTCATACTTTCAAGTCCTCTACTATATTTAATCCCAAATGACAAATTTCAGATACAGTATTCCTATTTCCTTTTACTGGAGAGCAGAAAGGAAGTGTTTCCTTCCAACAGCCTCGCGTAACCTACTTTCTCTCCTTCCCTTTCTGTCCCAGGGCAACATCACATCTTCAGTGTTAAAAGCATCAACCTAGTCATGTCTCCACTACCATACTTCCTCCTTTATCAGCATCAGTCAGTGTGACTGTGTCTCATCCTCTCCTTACAAGTTTCTGACATGAAAGAGCTGGTGCTGCCCTGGAGTTCCATCTCCTGAGACACATAGGCAATGATTTCTCTTATTGCCATTTAATAAATGACAATATATGTATTTGTACACATGATTAAGTTAAGCCCTGCAGTAGATATGTAGAGATGGTCACTTACAAGGTTCATTCGTCTTAATACACTGAAAGGGAATTAAAACCATCCCTTTAGAGTCTTTTGGAGGTGCCTGCTCTACTCCATAAGTTCATCAAAGGAAAAAGAGATGACAGCCAGAACAGAATTGACATCCAGAACCTTGGGTGTGTGGAATTATACCTCCACCCACTGCTAGTTCTTAGCAATCTGTGTCTATAAATGTTGAAAATTTATCTTGATCTAGAAATTTGACAAAGACCATGATGGGAGACTCCATGTATGAATGCCAATGAGATAATGAGTTCAAAACCACATCAAAAAGTGTACTAATCATATGAATTAAACTAATTTCCCCCAATAACAGGCAATATTAGTTCAGCAGGCAAAACCAATGGATAACCTACACCTTATAAGCAAATGGAAGATAAGATTCTGCCCATTATTTGCATCAAACTATTTGACAATACACACCTTGTTTCAGGAATAAAAATTCTATGAATGCTTAGGTATACACATACATGTCGTTATTTTAAAGCCATACATGAATAGCCCACTGCTACTCTCATAACAAATTTAGGGCAATGGAAAGCCTTTTCTGTCATAAAACAATGGTGCTTACTGTTCTTGTTTCTAGGAAACAAAGCAGGGACAGGCACAGTACCAGCAACACCAGAAGACTGGAAAAATAATAAACGGTGTGCATATTAGATTTTTTTTTTGGTTTTTCAAGATAGGTTTTCTTTGTGTAGACTAGGCTGGCCTTGAACTCCAGGAGTTCCACCTCTCTCTGTTTCTTGAGTGTTTGGATTACAGGCTTGTACCACCACCACCACCAGGTCATATTTGTTTTCCAGATGAAAGAAAAGGCAGTGAGCTCAGTAAAGATTCACATGCAATAGTACAGAAAAGTCACAAATAGTGAGGGACCTGAAAGGAAACTAAGAAGCTGGGCCTGTTGGTGCTGGTCTCTAAGCATGGTTTCTTGGAAGGCTGATGCCAGAGAACAGCGAATTCAAGACTCTATAGCAAAACGGTGTCACATATGTAACACAGTGAAAGGGCTGGAGGGATGTCTCAGTGGTTGAGATTACCTGTTATCACAGAGAGCCTGGGCTCCATCCCCAGAGCTCAGATGACTGCTCAATGGCACCTGTAACTCAAGTTCCAGAAGACCTCACACTCTCTAGTTGCCTCTGAGGGCACTGAATCCATATGCAACAGAGATATACATACAGGCAAATACCCACAGACATAAAATGAAAATAAATGAGTCAATAAATTTAATAAAACAAAGACAAAGATTTATTATATTTATAAAACCATCAAAACCAAGAATGAATGAATGAATGACTAGGGAAAGTAATTACTGCAAAATGAAATTCCTGCACCCAAAAATTATAAAAGTACTGAAAGAAATCGAAGATGATACAATATATATAAAGATGCCTATAATCATGGATTTGCATATTGTTAAAATGTCTATACTGGGGATAGATAGACGGTTCATGGCATTAGAGCACTGGTTGCTCTTCCAGAGGACCTCTGTTCTGTTCTCAACACCCACAAGATGAGTCATGACTATTTGTAACTCCAATTCCAAGGAGTTATCAGACACCCTCTTCTGCCATCTGTGGGCAGCAGGCATTTAAGTGGTCCACAGACATATATACAGGTAAGGTACCAATACACATAAAATAACACTAAAACAAAATAAATAAATGAATCAATAAAAAGCCATATGCTCTAGGGCTGCAGAAATGGCTCAGTGGTTAACAATGCTTACTGTTTTGTAAACGATGCTGGTTCAGCTCCCGGCACCCACATGAAGCAGATCACAACTAACTGTAACTCCAGCTTCAGGGAATCCACCAGCCGTGACCACCCCAGCCATCCTTTCAAAAGTGTATACACACAGGCAGACTCACAAATACACAACTGAAAACAAAATGAAACAGTATTTGCTTGTTTTGTGTTTTTCTTTTTTTCTTTTAAGATCAATAGTGTTTGGTTTTTACCCTAGGTCTCTGGGATACCTAGTCTCTGATTCTTAGTTACCCTTGCAGTGTTAGGTATGGGTTTCTTCCCATAGAGTGGGCCTTAAGTCAAATCACATGTTGGTTGGCTACTGCCACAAGTTCTGTGCCACCATTGCCATAGCAGAGTTTGTAGGTAGGACAGACTGTAGGTAAAGGCTTTATGAGTTGGTTGGTATTTCCTTTTCTTTTGGTAGCCTGCAGAGAACCTTCCTACACCAAAGAGACTAGAATGTAGGAGTGAAGGCTCCTTCTAGGCACCATCTCAACTCCTTCATGTTCAATGAATTCTGTGGCTGTTGTCCTAGGCAATGAGATTCTACTGTCAGTTTCTAGAGGGCAACCCTTTGTCTTATCAACAGTCTGGGTTTTGGGGATATTTTCATGTGACCCACCTTGATCAAGAATTCAATGAATACAACCAAGTCCCACCACTGGAAGTTTTGTTTGGTGACATGAGATTGGGAGTTGGGACTCCATATTCCCCATTAATAGAAGATCTCATTAGGGTTGCTTTAATATTAGGATTGCTTTAATATATCTTAAATAGTTTCTGTTGGTATCTCTAGCTCAGGGCTCCATTCCATGCTCAGATCTCACTCCTCCCATTACAAACCCTGCCTTTGGTGGCCCCTCCCCTGGAGCTGCTGTCTCCATATTCTGCTCCTTAGAAAGCCCAACAAGAGTCAACCCCTCTCTCAGGGCTGCTCAAGACCATGCCTATAGGCTATTTAAGACCTGCCCGCCCCACATATTTTCCCTCCTGCCTTTCTGAGAATCACCAGGGTGTTGTTTTGCCCTATTTATTAAACCTGAATTGTTAATTCGGCTTAACTGGCTTATTCCATCGGTGGTGGAGGATACCCAATAACCAGGGATCCAATACTTACAGTTTCCATTTCACTAGGTTGATATAACAACCTTCAAATGCTCCCCCATTCCAGAAGATTTAATCCTTTTTTAAAAAGACAAGGAACACTAACTAGGTTTGTTCATTTCAAACAATAAGGCTGCAGACAGCTTGTTTTGGGGGGGGAGTTGTTTGTTTGATTTTTGTGATTGGAGTATGTGATAGCTAAGGAAAGCTCCAATTTGTGTTAGACCCATATTCTAAATTCCTAAAAGAGAAGCTCCTAGAAATTCTCACTCCTCACTACCCTCTCCCAAATTGTAAAAGTCCTATGAGATAATTAACTCCTTCCTCTGGCTCTTGTGACCTACTTACTGCTGTATAACAGGAAGTGAGATCGCTCCTCACAGTTGAGGTGAGTACAAGCAGTTTCTTACTCAGCTACACATTCCACACAAAGGAGACAAATGTGTTGCCTACCTAAAAAAAACCCTTCCTCCAGCCTCTTCTATATGAAAAGCCTTTGACTTCTCTTTAAGGATGTAGTTGACCTACCAGCAGTAATTAATAAATTCATTTAATTATGACTTAGTAGAGTTTGTGGTCTTTTCCTGATGGATTTGAACTTTCTCTTTTTTTGTATTAATTCCTTTATGTATTTTTGTTTTGTTTTTACATCCTGACTACCATTTCCCCTCCCTTCTCTCTTCCCAGTCTTACCTCCAACCTCTCCACACCCCCACCAACTCCTCCTCCAGTTCTCTTCAGAAATGGGCAGGGCTCCCATATGTATCAACCAGCCATGGCATATCAAGATGCAGGTGAAACTGTTTAAGATTGATGAAACTTCAAGGTATTGATGTCATAAGAAAAATGGAACTTTTTCCCAATAGGCTTGGCAAAGAATTTGTCCTAGGGCTCATTTACTAAGTAGTATTATCTGGAACAATTTTATGTGTACTCCCTACATGCTTGCAAATTTAAAAACTGGACAACTCTAATGTGAGCATTGCAGTATCTCATAACAGATCGTAGTAAAAGAGGTCAATGCCTAAATTCAGAAGAAAGGTGTCCACACTGACCAAGAGGAGGAGAGAGCAAAGGGAAAGAGGATGGGCTCAGGACAGTCCTGAATGTCAACCTGGACACAGGAGGCCTGGCCTGTGTCCTCTGGTATCTACATTGCCTTGGATGAAGTTGGGATTCCCTGAGCCCTGTCCTTCCTTTCATGGCTCTCAAGATCTTACCAGCAGACATTTTTCAGTCATCACACCATTAAAATCCCTCAGAAGCTTTGCTATCCTTGAAAGGTAGAAAGTTCTGGGATGCAATGTCCACCTGTAATCCAGGGTCTGGAGAGGGTGACATGTCAAGAGTCATGAAAGTTATAGCATGTGACAACTAGTGTTCACATGTCAACCCACCAGAGTAATAACTATCTGTCAGAGGTTAATCCTGTCTAGACAAGATCTTCAAGACCATCTACTCTGAAAGTCATTCACTTTTGCTAAAGCAGCTTGGTGTCCCCCAAATACCTGCAATGCTGTATGTAATCTCATGTGTATATGTGATCTCATGGTTGCATCTAAATCTTATGGGCACATATATCTGTGGATGGTCAGATAGATGACTTTTCTATACTGTTTTAGTATGTGGTATACTGGGACATGCTTCATTACTATTTGCCCTGCAAGGACTGTCAACACTTAAAAGCCTGAGTTGTTCTTTTGCTTATTGAGTCACTTCCCCCCACTCTGTGGGGCCTCCGGTGAGAAATTTGGTCATGCAGTCAATAACCTTGGTTCCCACAGTGCAATCTCTGCTCCGTTACCTGAGATAGACTTAGAAGCCAGCTCCCTGCAATTATCCTCTATTTAGCAGGACCTTTAGTCAGGTGAGGAGTCCCTCATATGGGTCACATTCAGGATTGTTTGATTCTTAATCTGTCCTTATGACCCTGAAAAATGTAGGTCCTGTAACATTGCTATAGCCAGAGAACTGCTGATAGTGTCCATATGTATAACTGGAAACTTTGGAGGCTCACAGAACAATAAAGAAACTGGTTTGAAAAAGAATATAGTGGAGAATTCATTTTGCCCTTAGATTTTTTTTCTAAGTCCCACGCTTGCTTTAAGTTTTCTCTCTGAACTCTGAGAGGTCTGAGGGGCTGGTAACCAAAAGACCTGGATGTTGACATAGCCCAGTTACATGAGGTTAGCTTGGGCTGAATAAGGGTATTATGTCCCAATGAAACAGAAGTGCTGTGACTTCTAGAGAGTGTGCTCTCCTGGTGTTCGCACACATACCCTCTCTTTTTTCCCCTGTCACCTCTTTCCCTGTCTCTTTTCTTGGGATAGAATCCTGGACCTAGTGCAAACTCGAAAGTGTCACCACCACACTAACTGTACCCCAATAAGCAACACCATTTGAGTATTTTCTTTTTTCTTTTCTTTGGACATGCTCTTATTAGGTCCCTCAGTAGGTCTTGGACTTCAGATCTTACTGCATCAGCTATCTTTGTAGTTGGAATTACTAATCTGGGCTGAATTTCATTTCGGTGTGGCACACATGGACCAAGGGAAAGGCAGGCAAATGTAATGACATTTAAGTAACATTAGCAATTCCCTACAGACTTGTGACTTATAGTACAAGTAAATGTATAAGAGGCTTCAGGAAGAGTGGGACATCTAATCACAGAGACAGAAGCAAAGGGAATGAACCCATAGAATCATTACACCATTACAAATAGAGACGTTAAACTCTTGTTTTCAAGCACCACTCTGACTTTACTCTGTCAGTGGGGGAAAGGGAACAAGGTGACACAAAGAGCAGTGTCGTCTTGGAAAAAGGAAATTCTTGGTAAGTCCAAAATAAAACATTAGGAAAGAAGAGAGTGTTCTCCATCTACAGAAATACCTGGACGTCTCTGGACCTTGAAGCCTGTCTGTCTTTCCTCAAGGCCTCACCTCCATTTGGTTCCGCAATCCTAGAGCACTCAGCAGGAAGTCAGCAATCCCTGTTTCTCCTCCCCTTCTCAGTTTCGATTTTAACTCACCAGAACAAAGACAGTATTTTCAGAATTCTCCCAAACTCTGCCCTCTAAACTTGTTCTCACACCCTCAGACATCAACCAAGAGATCCTGAACCTGTGGAGAGGTGAGAACGTCGGGCGGCGAATGAGGGCTGAAGGGTCCTCAGGAGAGCCAGGAGAGAAATGAAAGTCAAGACTTTGAGGGCTGGAACAATGAGAAACTGCAGAGCTCCCAGCCAATGGGGTGCAAGCATGTATCTGAGATTCTAACAGCAGAGGGAGCCAGTCGCCTTGGGTCAGCAATGCCATTCCAAGAGCTTTGGACCTTTTTCAGTGCCACAGCAACTTGTTATGACACCTGTTCGGGTTCATGTCACAATCACCCTAAAAGATCCTGACCCTCGGGAAAGCTGCCCCCAATAGAAAGAAAGACTTCTCCATGGGCTCTTCTTGTACCTGAGCTCGTGGCTGGGTTTTGCCTTGGGTGCCGGGTGTGGCCCAAAGGGAAGGAAAAACAAGGTGAGGGACAGAGGACTGCAGTGTTCCTCTGGAGTTGGACTTGGACTCTTACAGGATGAGAACAGGAAGGAAGCTGCATTCAGGGCAGCTGGCACACAATCAAGATTTCCCACCCAGCAGGGACAGGATGGGGAGGATTCCACTGCAGAGCCATGCAGAAACACTTCCCCACACTCACAGCAGTGAAACTAGCAAGTGCAGAGGCTCTCCAGCTGCTCAGTGCTGTCCTACAGATTATATCGTCTGTTGCTGAACAGACCAAGTCCTCTTCACACTGCTGATGTGATACATTCATTGTATCCCTTCCAGGAATCCCTCACCGGAATGTTTCAGGAGTCCCCACATGAGTTAGGATTTCGATTGAAGACTTCTTATATTTCTTCAGCACCCCTGAATTAGAAGCTGAAAATGTGTAGAGCTCTGAATGAGGTTCAGCTGGCACAGTGCATGACTAGTCCTGGGGTAGATCCTCAGCATGTACAAAACTACTTGTGACACATGTATATAGTCTGCTCCGTTACTTCATTATTATTGTGTGTTTTGGTATCAATTTCTATTGCTGTGAAGAGATACTGTGACCACATGAACTGTAACACAATAAATAAAAGACCCAGAGACTGATATTGGGGTTCAAGCTTCAAGCTGAAGATCAGAAAAGCAAATCAGCTGGTCACTAGCTCTTATTCTACTTCAGACTGAAAGGTGATCCTGACTCCACCAAACCTCAGACTGCTGCCTCTTCTCATTGTGGCTGGAGAATGAATCTCTGGAGTTCTACTAAAGATCCTGCTCCTATCTTTTATAACCCTCTAGTGCTGGGATTAAAAGCATGATATTCCAGGTGCTGAGATCATCTCATCTTTGTGTGAGCTATTTCTCTTTAGGACTGGATCAATCTTGTGTAGATCACAGAGATCTATCTACCTCTTAATCCTGAGTCCTTGGATTAAAGGTGTGTACCATCACCGCCTAATCTCTATAGTTTGAGGCTGACTTTGCTTTCTGAATCCTCAGGCAAACTTTAATAAATCATAAATAATATATCAGCACAACAAACTCTTATGAATGAAAACATAATTATAGCAGGCTTACAGTTCAAAAGTTTACTACATTGTCTTTATAGCAGGAAGCATGGCAGCATGGAGGTAACATGGTGTTGGAGAGGTAGCTGAGAGTTCTACATCAGCATCAGTAGACAGCAGAAAGAGAGTTAGCCATTGAGCATGACTTAAGTTACTGAAACCCCAAAGCCCACCCCCACTGATACATATCCTCCAACAGGACCAAACCCTACTCAAACAAGGTCATACTTCCTAATAGTGGCACTTCTTATGAGACAATTGAGCAATTTTCATTCTAACCATCACACTGTGGGAAAAAAATCATGACTAAGTCACTTTATAAGTACAGTGTTAGATTTGGGGCTTGAACTTTCAAAGGGTTAGAGATCATAACCACCACAGTAGACAGTTGGCAGCAGGCAGGGAAGCACCATGCTTATTTGTCAACTTGAGTACACCTGGAATTAGCTAAAACCCAAATGACTAGGTACATATGAGACATTTTTTCCTAATTAAATCATTTGAAGTGGAAAGACCCACTTCTAATCCAGATCTTTCAGATAGGAAGACACAATCTTTAAGTTAGGTCTTTCCAGGTTGGAAGATCCATCTTTGATCTGTACCACACCTCCTGATGGTTGCCTGTATAAAGAGCATGGATTTAAGGAAACTTGCCCTCTCTTTGCATGTTTTTTTCTTGCTCTCATTAGCAAGTCCATTGCTTCATTGGTATTAGAGACCATCTCTTTGGGATTCTGACATAAACTGAAGACCAATTGAGACATCAACCTATAGACTGAATAACTACTGGATATTTGGACCTTCTATTGGTAGACAGCCATTGTTGGTCTAGTTGGCCTGTAAGCCATTCTAAGACACCACCCCGTGTATAGATTCATTCTATAATTTCTATTCCTTTAGAGCAGTGGTTCTCAACCCAAGGATTGGCCCCCTTTGGCAAACCTCTAACTCAAAAATATTTACCACATGATTCATAATAGTAGCAAAATTACAGCTATGAAGTAGCAACAAAAGTATTTTTATGGTTGGGAGTCAGCCCAACATGAGGAACTGTATTAAAGGGTAACAGCATTAGGAAAGTTGAGAACCACTGCTCTAGACAACCCTGACTAAAACAGTGCTGAATCAGGAAGTGAGAGGTCACAACTTGAGACACAAACATGAAGCAGAGTGAGAAGAGCATCAGTAATGGCCATATCTATTGAAACTTCAAAGCCTGCCCCCAATGACACAGCTCCTTCAATAAAGCAACACCTACTCATTTATTTCTTGTATTCTCAGATCTACTAAACAGTGACATAAGGTGTGATAGTTAACCAATATGGCACTACAATTTGCATTTTATTTAACATTCTTGTTTTTCTTCCTATTTCTCTTCTTTCGAGATATGGTCTCATAGTGAACCTCACCCTGACCTCCGAGCTCTTCCTCCCTCAGCTTCCACAGTGCAAGAATCATAGGTATTTGCTGCCTGGCCAATGGTCAGTGTTTTATTCATCCACTAATAAGAGAAACATATATACAGAAGAATGTCCCCCATAGTCTCCTCTTTTCTGTCTACATGAAAAGAAAGATTTTAACTTTAACCTAGTAAAATTATATAACAAAAAGATTCTCAAGCAAGAACTACAGTTAACAATTTTTAGCTCAATAACATTTGGGAAATTTAAAGAAAATATTCTATCATCTATCCAAACATTATGAGTCTAAAGTTTTATATGTAACTTATCATCTATCATAACTAAGGAAAACCATAACCATAGCTACCTGTCTTCAACTCCATCACAAACCTCAGAAAGATAATACATAAAAACTAGAATTAACACAGACATCCTGTTGCTTGGATAGTCACCCAAAGTTTTGACCTAGCTTTGGGGCATCTATCTTCAGCCTGTAGGCCTAGAGTGTCTGACAGACTTCTTAGTGAAGCAGGAAATTTGAAACTGTCTCACCTGTATTGGCAGTTTGTCAGTAATTTTCTCTGTGTCCTGTAGAATGTCTGGCAGACTCTTCCATGAAGCAGGAACCCTGAAGGACTATCCCATCATGTTTTGGCAAGTTTAGCAGTCACTTTCCTATGGGTCCTGCATGTCCAGTTTATACATCACACAGCAAACAGTCCAGGCAAGAAGAGTTGCTTGCCCAAATGACTAGTTCTGCCATGTTGCAGGGAAACTCCATAACAAGTTTCTTCAATGCCCATCTTCCTCTCTGATGTAATTGGTGGTTCCAGGCATAGTTGTATCTTGTTGTCATGAAAAACCTTAATAAACAATTTTAAATGACATATTCTGTAGTTCTGTAGGTATTTGAAAAGTTTCAAGGAATACCTATTCACGTACCAACTGGAAGGGAACCTTGGACCTGTACACACCAGGAAAAGAAGAGACTCCTCCTATACCCACTGGAAGAAGGGATGAGAAGAAGACAATATAAAAACACATTCAACAACAGAAAAACAACATGTCACCATCAGAGTCTAGGGACTCTACACCAACAAGACCTGAACATCCCAACACAAATGAAGCAGAGGAGAATGACCTTAAAAACAAGTTCATGAAATCCTTTAGCTCCCAGACCCAACCCCCAGCACTCCCCACACCCACGTACCCAGATTTAGGAAAGAAGGAGACCAGTGGAGACAGAGAGACACCAACTGCACCCACTGGAAGAAGGGATGGGAAGATGAAAGCATAAGAACACACTCAGCAATAGAAAGACCAACATGACTCCACCAGAATCTAGAGACCCCACACCAACAAGACCTGAAAAGCACAACATAGATGAAGCAGATGAGACAGACCTTAAAAATTATTTTATAAAGATGATAGAGACCCTTAAAAAGGAAACGAGAAAACCCCTTAAAGAAATAGAACAAAAAACAAACAAAAAATACATGAAATGGAAGAAAAGACAAACCAAAAAAATCAGGAAATAAATAAATGTCTTAAAGAATCTAAAGAGAGCCAAGAAAAAACAATCAAACAAATGAAGGAAACAACTCAAACAGTTGAAGGTTTGAAAGCTGAAATAGAAACAATAAGGAAAACACAGAATGAGGGGATGCTGGAAATAGAAAAGCTGGGTAAACAATCAAAAACTACAGATGCAAGTATAACCAATAGAATACAAGAGATGGAAGAGAGAATATTAAGGTGTTGAAGACTCATTAGAGGATATACAGTCATCAAGCAAAGACAATCTCAAGACCAAAAATTCCCGAACACAAAATATCCAGGAAATATGGGACACTGTGAAGAAGCCAAACCTGAGAACAATACGTATAGAAGAAGATGAAGAAATACAATTCAAAGGTACAGAAAACATATTTAACAAGATCACAAAAGAAAACTACCCTAACCTAAAGAAGGATATGCCTATGAAAATACAAGAATCTTACAGAACACCAAATAGGCTCCACCATAAAAAGAAGTCCCCTCGCCATATAATAATCAAAACATCAAACGTACAGAATAAACAGAAAATATTAAGAGCACCTAAAGAAAAAGGCCAAGTAACATACAAAGGCAGACCTATCTGAATTATACCTGACTTCTCAATGAAACTATGAAAGCCAGAGATCCTGGACAGATGTCCTA